CTGCTCAAAACTCTGAAAGTACTCAGAGAAAAAATACTCATACTTCTCTTTATAAGAAAGAAGAGAAGAAAATGCAAAAAGAGTGTGATTGAAAGATTGCTTAAGCCAGCGTATAATTACAGATATACGCCGGCTTCTTATATATATTATACTAAATTAATTAGTGGTCGCTATAACCTCTTTACATTTGTAAGCATGTTCAGAAGTAACTGTGTTATTATCTAATAATTTTATATTCTTTCAAATTACATTCTCTCTCATCAGATTCAGTCACGCTTATATAATCATAATATAAGCTCTAGCTTCATGCGGATTAACATGTCACTAGTATTTACAATTATACAGTCTATTTCTGATCAGACTAGTATTCTGCTTACTTTATTATTATTATTATTCTTCAATTATAGATGTATGCAGTCAGAGACTATGATATCTATCTAAGAACTTTTAGTTCTCAGGGTTTTTTCTATATCTGTAAAGTTAACTATTATACATTCATCAATTTCAGATATGCAAAATCAGAAAATTTCAGCTCAGAATACAAAAACTATTTACAAATTGCAGTGTTTTAACATTGTCTCATACTTTGAAACCATTTAACAATATCATGACAAAGGAAAAGAGAACACAGTCTTAGAGATAGACTACAGACGCTAGTCACCCGCAGGATGTATCTTAAGCTAATTACATTTAACTCTCTATAATTAACTGACCACCGCGTCTGTCCTCTCAGGCCAGCCACTAATTTCCAGGGGTGTTAGTTAGTGGCTGTCATCACTCACTTGATGATGTACACATCAAGCTTCCGGTTGCTGATCTCAGTCTCATTAGATGCTTATAGGCCTATCAATCAGTCATCATAACCTCACTCTGTGTTAGAGACTAATCATAGACTTAATGACTGCAGTTCTCTCTGCCAGTATTAGAAGCTGATAGTGAGCTTGCAGACTCTAGTCTATCAGAGTGCTCTGTCTAGAGTCTAGATACATATCTAGACCTGCTAATTAAGTAATTTTTAAAATCATTCTCTGTATTTGAGAGAAAGCTAGGCTCTGATGACAGCTCTAGTTAGAAACTTGCTTAAGTAGTGTATAATCACTATATTAGGCTTGACTCTATATCATTAGAACCTTGACAGATGCACAGTAGAATAGTGAGACATTGATATCTCATACTGACTCTGATGAGTGTTCGCAGAATCTTGCTTAACTAGTGACTTGACTTGCAGTAGAGAGTTCTACCCTGCACCAAGTCTTACTAATTAGACTCAGCCTCTATTACATGGAGGCTTTCATGGGTAAGAAGTAACAGATGCCAGCGGTGAGATTCGAACCCATACATCTCTAATGTGTGCGGCCTTGATTATCAGTCTTATCAACTGGGCCACGCTGGCGTATTCTGCTTACACTCTTATAAAGAAACTTTCACTATATTATATTACTTATTCACTAACTTTTTTCATTCTTTAATTATCTTCTTCATTATTATTATCATTGAATGTTACTATCTTATTTAAGATTTCTGTCAATTCATCTGTTTAATATCTTCTATCTGTTTATTTATTATATTATACATGTTTCTGATGATGACTCTCTATTCTCATAATAAGTGTTATTATAGTGCTTATATCAGACAGTTTATTAGCAGTAAGTATAACATATTATAAAATGTAATCAGACCTTGTTTTTCTTCTAATAATTATCAGAATGTATTATTATAAATGATACTTCTTTTTCATCTTCTTATACACTTTTAAGTGTTTTCTTCTCAGTGATCTCTGATTGTATTTTCTGACATGATTTTATATAAACACAAATACTGATATGTTTGTTTCTATTTATATAGAATCTTTATATATTGACAGATCTGTATCTGCTAATAATAGTGAACATCTCAATATTGAATTATTAATTGAGAACTTGAAGAATATGATAATGAAGAAATTATCTATGTTATGTATAACTGAGTCTTCAGCATCTCTCTCTATCTCTTCTATTACTATTTCTCTCTTTACTACTTCTTCTTAATCTTTTATACTTATCTCTGTTTTCAGTTCTTCTACTTCTATTACTTCTGTTTCTACTATCTTCACTTCTGCTACTTCTGCTCTCACTACTTCAGCTCTCTCTGTCTCTGCTGCTTCTGCTGTTATTATCAGCTCTTCTTATTTCAAGAAGATGTTGTATAGACTTGATGAATCATATTTCTCAGTGTGTATACTTTCACTCTTCTTGTAAATCTCTAGAATAATTTATTATATGAAGACTGTGTATGATATAACTATCTGAAGCTCAGTTGCAGATGCTGATTATTACATTTATTTTAAGTATTTATAGTAAGATAATTATGTATTTATATCAGAGAATTACTTCGCTTCTTAAAAGTGTTAAGAGTGTAAGTCTTTTCTTTTTCATCTTCTCTTCTAATACTAATTTTTCTAGGAAAAATTATTATGAGTTTTATTATACATAAAGTTATAATTAGACTGACTGTGTGACCGTGTCTGGGACCAGGACCAGATTTTTTGATAGTCTCATTATCAATTCAACTGATCTCATTACACGGTTTTAACATTAGATAGTAGTCTCATACTGTCTCAGTGAGACTTACTGTCTACTCTTATCACATTTTCCAAATGAGATCATGATTTCCACTTCTCAATTTAAATTATTTTTATTGCTTTAAATGACTTTAAACCTCATTTAAGTGTTATCAAAAAGCATTACTTTTTAAAAAATTAAAAATAGTCTAAAAGAAACCTTAAAATGTCTAAAAATAGTAACTTTATGCCAAGAATGAGACTAAATAGGCTCAAATGGGACCACTTTCTATGAAAATGAATGAGATGTGTATAATAACATTTGTCTTTTTACAGCTGACTCTTACAGTTGATGATCAATTCATTATTTCTTCTCTTTTTCTTATACTTTTTCTTTGTCTGCTAGTCACTACTTTTACACAATCTCTATATAATTCAGCATTCAGTGACTAGATTCAGTAACTTTCATCTGTTGTAATTGTGTCTCATATATTATACTGTCTCTCTTCATTCACTCAGACTACTACAGTAAATAGTTCATTGAAACTAATCTTACCTGATCTCTGAGCATTCTCAGAAATTGAGACAACTTAGTCTCACATGTTTATAAATGTTTCAGATGCTTCATTCTCTGTTATCTCTGTGATTAAACTGATATAAACAGTTGAATTCAACTCTGAATTTCTTTTTCTTCTGTGATCTGACTCATATACAAGTCTGCTGCTGTGAGACTACTCTTTACTGTGTTACACTCACTGTCTGTGACATATTATTATATGATCAGCTACAATCTTATTACTTATTAAAGTGTGATGTTTATATAATTTCTTTATTACTTCTTATTCTTTTCTTATAATTGTAAAAAGATTGAAATAAATGAGATTATCTGATTTATAAGTATCTATGATTTCTCTTATTTCATGAGACTTTTCAATTATAAGCCTCTTCTTTTTCAACACTCATAATAGTGCTGTAGACAATTATAATTAACTCAGATCTTACATCTTCATCTCTTTAAGATATGAATCATTTATTAAGTTGTGTAAGACTTATTCCTCTGATTCTTTCAATGTGTATATTTTCAGAGAATGTGATTTGAGTATTTTATAGAGCTTAAATCATCTAGGTTAAAACTTCTCAGAACTCTCATTATGTATAAGAACTCATATTCTCATTTTGAGACTTGATTTCTTTACTAGTGAGTCTTGTATTCTTTTTGATTAAATTGCTCAGTTCTGAAGTAACTCATTCGCTTTTACATATATATAACTGATCTCTTTCAATCTTGATTTCACATCTGTGACTGCTGTGTCTGTAACTGCTATTTCTGCTGCATCTGTAACTGCTTTTCTCTCTCTCATCTTTTTCAAAGCATTCTCTGAGAAGTGCGGATGCAATTCATACAACAGATAGAATGATGAATACTTAGAGACTGCATGCTGCTGAATTTGCATGATTAATAGTGCCTGACTGAGATATTCATTTCATATTTTTATAGACTTACTCACTAGATATTTCATCAGCATATTGCTCAGAATTTCATTCAATCATTTCATCTTCTCATTCATCTGTGAATAATATGATGTTGTTCTATGATATCTTGTCTGTAACTGGCTCATAAAATACCTCACTACTTCTTCTATCTGATTTACACTGTTATCAGTTAGAATCTCATATAGTATTTCATAGTTAACATAGATCTCATCATATAGAAACTTCATCATCATCTTCTCTATCATCTCTCAAACTGTTTTGTAACTGGCCAGCCAGTGGTGTACTTAATAGCAGTGATTATTCAATGATTTCCATTTAGTGTTCACAGTAATATGTCTATGAGGTTCATCTCTTATTGTTTAAAGAATTGTATTATACATTTTATCTGATATTACACTTTCTCATATTTTAATCCTTTCTTAGATTCTTTTGTGACCTGATAATTCAAGTACTTATGAGTGTATATCTGAATATCCTCAGTCATGCTTGATCAGTACACTCTTGATTTGAGTATCAGTCAAGAGCTACAGTCTCAGATAACACAGAACTCAGAGTTCAGATCAGATAATCATAGTTAACTCATTTTACAAGATATTATCAGCTGCAGCTGCAGAGTCTCTCATCAAGAATTTTCTCAATCTCTTACTCAAGTTCATTATCTTCTTCTATGATCTCTGACAGCTGTCTGTTGAAAGTTAGTTAAGAAGAAAATGAGTCAGTGACAGTAGAGTGAAGCGAGCTTGTATAAAATATATTATAAATCTCTGATGAAGTATTAAGATAGTAGTTGTAGCTGTCTAGAACTTCTGTCACTGTGTATTTTATATAATGATAATTTAATGTACAGAATGCGTATATAATCTGTATATTTCTAAGATTCAATCACACAAGATCTTCTATCTTATACTGCTCTGCAGAATCTTATCAGATATTGACTTGATCTTCTTGCTCTTATTTAGCACTCATCATGAAGGCTTCTGCTGAGTCACAGGTATCTCAGAGCTTTATTATTGACTCTTACAGCCGTTGCGGTTAGCGATCCCACTAGATCACATGACTCATCACTATATTATGTTCCTGTAGATAGATCTATCAATACAACCTTCAACTATTCTACAGGTTATAGCCTGGATGGCACATTTTTCTTTTTAGAACATTGCACCAACATTTTTGACACAGATAGTTCACCTTTTTTGGAAAGACTCTTACTCTTTATTAGAGATATTCCATTTTCCCTGAATCTGCTGGTCAGCAGATTCATATACTTTATATTTTTGAGAAAGTGTGTTCTCCATTGTGGAGAATATCACTTTTTTTTTTTTTTTTTTTTACACACTTAGGAGAAGCAGAGCCACCTCAATATGAGTGATACATCTGTTACTTCAGAGTTCAGCTCAAGGCCCAGAATCACACACTTCACTAGACAACTCATTGATAGAATGATCACTCATTATGAGAAGGCTCCTGACTTACAAGATGAGACTGAGATCAGTTTTCACCAGAGTATGAAATTTGATGATGAGACAACAGAGAAGCTTCAGAACAAAGAAAAGCAGAGTCAATATTCATCTGCAGAATCTGTTCATTTTAATTGTTCAAATCCTTCACCATTTCTCATTCTCAGAATGTCAACTTTTAATGATGATCTGAATCAATCTATCTATTGCATCACAGGCAATCTTATGAATCTTATACAGATGATGCTACAGAATCAGATGGCTGCAGCTGAAATCACTCAACATCTCACTACATCTGTCTCTGCACAAAGAGACACTATGAGAGATGAGTTGTGAGAATACCAGAAGAAAGTCAAATATGCACTAGACATCAAATCAGTGACCACATTTGATGACTCTAATTATGAAGCCTGGTGTATTGATATGTTGACTGATGTGAAAGTTATTGATGAAACTGATATTCTATTGAGAACTCAACAAGAATCCTCTTTTACATGTCATATCAACTCTGAGAAGTGGAGGATCTGTTTCAAGTCTCTATATAGGTGTATGCTATCAAGTCTTGTTGAAAATGTTTGAATCACTATTGAAATCTTGGAAGCTGACAATGCTGTGACTCTGTGAGACAAGATCAATGATGAATATATAATATCACTGACAGAAGAACAAGTTAATGTCTTCAAGAAATTGATAAAATTACAAGTCAAGAAGAATGATTATCTTACTTTTCAGAGACATTTTCACTATCTTGTTACCTGTCACAAGAAGCTCTGTCAGAGCACTGAGAATCTATATCATGATCTTTTCCTCAACAATCTACAAGATTATCAAAGACTGTTTGTCAAGACACATTTGAATGAGTTTTTCTCCACTGATCAGAGACTCATTGTTAACATTGATATCAATGATTTGATGAAGCAACTGACTAATTGTACATTCAAGAAGATCATCACCAAGCGGAAAAAGCAGCCTCAGGCCGATTCTGTGACTGCGAAAAAGGACAAGGACAAAGATGAGAATAAAAGCACACCTGTATGGAAGTGCACTCACTGCAGAAGACATGAACATACTGTTGACAGGTGTTTCATCTTACACTCTGATAAAAAGAAAAAGAAGAATCACAAGAAGAATAATAAGAAGAAAGAGAAGAAGAATGACTTGATGAGTTCTTAATCAGCAGCAAATGCAGCAATTACAAAGATTGAGTCCTATTCTTCTTTCACAGTCATCAGAAAATCATCCTCTAGATCTTGATATTTGAACACATGTGCAAGCCTGAATATGACAGATGAGCTTCATTCTTTCTGAAATATCAAAGCTTTTAATGATAACATCTCTGTCAATTCTGTGACTGAGGAAACTGGGTTTGTCAAGAAGATTGAAACTGTCATCTTGAAGGTTGAGAATAATGATGTTAACTTGCAGAATGTTTACTATATTTCTAATATTACAGTTAACCTGCTCTCATTTATGAAGCTTGAAGATCAGGGATTCTGATTTACATTGTCTTTCACTATTCCCTCATTTTTCATTTGCAGAGCCCTGAATGATGTTATTTTTCATGCAGTTCAGACTGCTCAGAACAACATATATAAGATTAATAAGCAGAAGTTCAATGAGGATCTCAATCATCTGAACAGAGCAGTCAAGTATATTGCAATGATGTCTTACAAGTACAATTTTGACTGAAAAGTTGATCTTTCTGTGGCTGCTGCTACTACTGTTAATAACATTGATTCTGCGGACGCGAAAACACAGACATCAAAGATATCAAAGACTCTTTTGAATTGACACTGTGATCTCAGTCACATTCACACTGATGCTATAATTGCTATGACCAAGAATCTCTATACTGAAGTCATAATTAGAGGTTCTAAGACTAAGTTCTTTTGCAAGAAATGTGTCAAGACAGATATGATATGAGATTATTCAAAAACACTGATACCTAGATCTATCTGACTCATTGAGAAGGTTCATATTGACCTTGCAGATGACAGATATACATTGAAAGACCTCTCTGACCATCTCTTAGAGTCTCATCAGAGAATCAGATACTGAATGCTTATTATCTGTGATATGACTTGTTACTATTGAGTATATTTTTTAAAGTTCAAGAATGAGGCTGTTCAATACTTTGAGTTGTGACTCAGATTCATGAGTAATCTTGAGTATACAGTCCCTGCTTTTCTACAGACTGATATTGATGATGTTTTTCAATTCACATGTATGCACACAGTTATGAATTCATATGATATCAAATGAGAATCAACAGCATCACATTCATCACACCAGGATGATGTTTCTGAATGTGAGATTCATACTATTATGAGACAGGTCAGAGCTGCTCTTTTGAAAGATAATCTCTCTAAGCAGTTCTGAGCAGATGTTCTAGAGACAGTGATTGCAATAATTAATAATACTTCCACATCTACAGTTCTTTATAACTCAAAATTTTGGCCCTCTACTGCAGAGACATCTGTGATTCCAAGTCTATATAAGATTTCTTAATGTGCACTTACAAATACTCTGCTGAATGTGAGGCATTTTCACTGATTAAGTGCAGAGGTTTTTATTCACTTACACAGATCTCAGAAGCCTGTGAATAAGCTTTCTTCACATGCTGATTTCTATCACATTATTGAATTCAGTGGCACTTCAATATATCACCTATGACATTCTGAATCTGACAGAATTATTGTCAGTAGTGATGTGAGGTTTCTGATCACTGAAAAATCAGAATCAGTTATCACATCTGTGACACTCACTAATAATACTGATGAACCGGAACCTGATATTCATCTGATTGATGATGAAGACACTCTCAATATTGATAATCTGAATTTCACATGATTGCGGCCCGCGAAATCGCTGACTACTTACACTTCAAGCCTCATTACAGGCAACCTCTCAAAGTCCTACAAGAATGCCACATCTCTGTCAGAAGGGATAGGAGATTATTGAAAGAAGTTCATGCAATGCAAGATTATCAACCTGAAGAAATGCAATACATGAAGTTTGATCTCTAGATCTGATATTCTGAGAGATGAACTGATTACTTCAGGCTGTTGAGTATTTCTTGAGAAAGATAGACCTGTGGACCTGAATGCTGATTCTGATGATATTCTTAGAAAATCACATTGAATGATTTGTGATAACTAGCTTAAGAAGAATTCTAGAGAAGAGATCTATGCTTCTGTCATCACTGATACTGTCAATCATATTCTTTTTACAATAGCAGCACTTCATGATTGAACACTCTGTCAAGTAAATATAGTAATGATATATCTGCATGAGTGCCTCACTAAGAAGGTCTATATAAGATAACTCACTGAATTTGAGACAGGTTCACTGAAAACACTTGTCTGCATGATTGAGAGTAGTCTATACAGCCTGGACCCTGCAGTGAAGATCTGATATGATTACTTAACAGCTCTGTTGAGCAATCTTGAATTTACAGTCAGCACTCATGATTCAGCACTCTGATATCATACATTCAGATATCACCTCTATATAATGATCTATGTTGATAATCTCAACATTATATCTGAAGCTTCTGAGAATGCTGATTGACTAGTGAGTATGCTCAGTGAGAAATTGAAAGTCAAGAATCTACATCAGTCAATCAAGTATTTGAGTATGAAGATCAATTGTTTGGACAAGAGAATTGATTTAACACATTGTCAATATATCAAATGTCTTGTTAAAGATTTCTATCTTGATGATGCAGCTGTTGTCAGAATATCAAGAAAGAATGAATTCTGTATTAATGATTTCTCTATATCTGAGAAAGAGACTGATTTCACAATTCAGTAATATCAACATAGTGTGAATTGCTTGCAATATCTTGCAGTTAAAACATGTTCTGATATCACTTACACTGCCTTACTACTCACTCAACAGAACATTGATTCAACACCTCAATGTTGAAAGGCTCTATTACATGTTATATATTATTTGAAAGAGACTATGAATCTGGGCATTTTCTACAGACACAGTCTGTATGAGAAGTCTGTTCCTATCAATCTTTTCATTCCCTCTGATTTCCCTGATGATTTCTACCTACTCTTTGGCTACTCAGATTCTGATTGAGCCGGTCTCTTGAATGATAATAGGAAATCAACATGCGGCTACATTTTTAAGCTCACAGACAGTTCAATTTCATGATGTTCAGTGAAGCAATCTTGTATATCTCTAAGTTTCAATGAGACTGAATATATAGCTCTTAGTGAGGCAGTCCGCGAGGCAACATGAATCTGAAACCTCATGATTGAGCTTGACTTCATCACTACATCTCTGATACAGATCCTCACTGATAATAAGAATGTCATAGATCTCACAAAGATAGCAGTCATTACAGCTCAAAGCAAACACATTGACATACATTTTCATTTTTCACATTGACAGTTAAATCAGAGAATCATTGATTTAGAATATGTTCTCATCACTCAGATGATGATGAATGAACTCACTAAATCTCTAGACACTGTGACATTTGCACAATTCATGATTTTACTAGGTCTTACAGGCATAAAAGTTGAGAATGTTTAATTTTACATTTGTATTTAGTTTTGACAGACTATCTTGATGGTTTGAGTGTTTTTGTATGTGATTCTTATTATCTCAAGGGGGGGTGTTGGCCCTTACAGCTGTTGCGGTTAGTGATCCCACTAGATCATGTGACTCATCACTATATTATGTTCCTGTAGATAGATCTATCAATACAACCTTCAACTATTCTACATTTATTACTATAGTATTATCAATCTGAATTAAACTGCAGAGATTCAGTGTGAGCTGTATAATCTCTAGAAGATTCAACACTTTCATGTAGTAATCATGTATAAGAAAGAACAGACTTACACCTGTTAAGACAGCATCTCAGTTATTAATAGCAATCTCTGCATGTAGAAGAAGATTATATTAATTATCTTATAAGTAATTACAGAACTTATAAAGATAATTCTTCATAATCTGAATTGTCTATTCTGATGCATCATTGATCTTGAAGTGATGAATAGTTAATAAACAGTGTATAATCTTCAGAAGTTGACAGATTCTTGTTCAGATAAGACTCATGAATTAACAGCTCTGATTGAATACTATAGATCTCAGCAATTCGTACATTTAATAAAACAAACTCTGTAGAAAAGCTTCAATTACTTGTTCAGTGTTTATCTTATTACAAGATTTCAATATTACATCTTTACTTAATCAGTTCATAATATTCAGAACATTTTTACAATTCTTACTCTCAGAAAGATTAACAGTGAAGTCAATTATCACATCTCACTAGATTCTATCAATGATATTGAGTGATTTCCGCAGATCTTTTCTAC